AAGGCCTATTTTATCTTCTAGAGCTCTAAGAAAGTGAAATTCTCATTTTTTTCTTATAAATATCATTTTACCAACACAGGAAATTAGCTCAAATTAACACGTTTTTGCTCCTTTGACTCAATCATCCCCTAAATCATAAAATAAACTTCATTTAGCACATAGAATCTAAAATTATATCCAAAAGACTAAATAAAAGAGAATAAATATCATCAATAATTTCCATTATCATTTACCCCTTATGTTAGTAGTATTAAGAGAGGTCTTTTAGTGAATGTCATTCAACTAAATGAGTAACTAAACGGAAGAGCAAAAAGGATGGATTTTGAGCCAACACTTTGAGAGGTTAATATACCATCGCTTTTTCTATGCATTATGGGTAAGATCAATGCTTTGTTAGATTTATGGGAGACTGATTAGGGTATCAAATCACCATGAGTAAGGAAGTTATCTTCTTTAAAAGACAAAGCAAAGCCTAAGTATTGTTGGTACCATAAGTATGTAGGGTACCATAGGTAAGAGAGATCCTTTAGTGAATGTCATTCAACTAGATGAGCAATTAAATAGAAGAGCAAAAGGGATGGATTTTAAGCCAACACTTTGAGAGGTTAATCTACAACCACTTTTCTATGCATTATGGGTAAGATCAATGCTTTGTTAGATTGATGGGAGGCTGATCGAGGTATCAAATTACCATGAGTAAGGAAGCTATCTTCTTTAAAAGACAAAGCAAAGCTTAAGTATTATTAGTACCATAGGTATGTAGGGCACCCGATAAAGGAATGCCACCATTTGAGGTTTTTTCCCATAACAAGCTTAATAAAATGGAGATTATTCTTAACAATGAAGATTCTATTTTAAAATATCATCTATCACAATATTAGAATCACTACAATAGGAAAATGATTTTTATCTCTCATGATTCTATTGAGTTAAAGTGAGAGGATTTGAGTATGCGAGTCTATCAAGTTACTTCTAACTACACTTTATATGGAAGAAGCATATGATATTGATAACTATATTGTGTAATCATTATTAAAATTTCAAACATTCATAATTTTGTCAATCTGTTGGGGTTTAATGAAGAAGCCAAACAAGAAGATGTTGTAACCATTGTGCATATCTCTAAAGGCTAGCATGGTGAGTATTTTATAGCTAACTATCTAGAGAGAAAGATGGCGAGAAATAATAAGATTGGTGTGCCTTTCACTAGTGCTAATTATTATATCAAAAAGACCAACCATAACTATTCACTTTATGTGGAGAGTAAGGTGAATAATAAACCCATTCATAGGATCTTTATTGACAACAATTCATCTCTAAATCTTATGCCACTTAAAACCTTAAAGGGACTAGGCATTAATAAGAAGCACATGATCCGCACACCAACCAATGTCAAAGATTGTAACAATGCTACCTTTCGCACTCAAGGTCATATTGTAGTAGACTTCTATTCCCTTTTTACCCCTTATTTTCCTTCTTCAATTGCCTAGCTCTTAAACATAAAACTTAACTTGTTTAAACTGAAAATAAACAAGTCTCCCTTTCCCTCATGTTCTTCCTAGATAGAACGTCCAATTATCAAGCTCCTTAGAAATTTATTCTCCTTTGAATGGAATTCCCCCCCAATGGCACTCAAGCAATTCTTAAACTAACCGGATCTTGTCTCTATTTCTCCATCTTGGATGGATTGAAGGATTTGAGCCCCTATACTCAATTAATGACGGTGACAATGTCACTACCATTTTTCTTTACTCATTTGGAAAATGGAACAAGAACTAATCAAACAATATGCATGAAGAAAGAGATTCGAGGTTACCTAATGGAAGTTGAAGGATTGGGATGAATTTAAAAGATCGAGCTTTGTTGTTTTGATTTTCTTTATCGTAAGTGGTTTATGGTGATGATTGCTAGGTTGGATTTGTAAAGGATACCGTAATCAAAGGCTTGTAGAGTGTGTTGTTGTTGTGTTTGGGGACTAGACAAATGCTTGAAGCATTAGGTTTCTAGTGTTATTAAAACCTAGATCGAAACCTAGAAAACCAAAGTAAAAACCCAAAAACTTACAAACCCATAATACTCTTTTTCTCGCCTTAATCTCCCCTCTAATTCCTCCAATCCACCTCAATTTATAGTTCAAACCCTACCAAATTCCTATCGTATGATTGTTTCCCAATCGATTGAAACCCTCAATTGTTAAAGCTAAAGAACACATTTTTTTGTGCTATTAGATTCTTATGTGTATAGAGTGAATTTTGAAATTGAAGAGCGGGATGTACATTGCTCGTGGATTATAATGGTGGTGCAAGTGGTATAACGGGGCAAATTAGTGGTGTAAAGCATGATTCCCGGGCCGGTACAAAGGTCCAGCCAAGCATTTTTGGCATCGATCGATCATGTCTTCTTCGATAGAAGACGATGAGTAGTATGGGTGGGAGAAGGTTTCTAGGTTGAAGCAAACGACAGGTTGTTCACTCAATTTTTGGTTTTGTCGTTCACTCTTTAATTTCAACTTAGTCCTCGCACATTTCAATTGTTCAAATTATAACCTTGAGGCCTACAATTTTGGTCCTTATTCTTTCATTTTTGTTTTCAATCTGGACCCTTGTATCTTTTAATTTCGGTCTTAGAATTTTCAATTGTTTCAATGGTATCCTCAATTATTCCAATTTTAGTCTTGAGTTTAGTTAATCCTACTCCTAATTAATTATTCCATGAAATTTATATATATATATATATATATATATATATTATTCTTTATTATTTTTCTTTTTTTTGTAGTAAATACCAAAAATAAAATAAAATAAAAATAAGAAATAAATAAAACAACACAAATAAAAAAAATAAAAACCTAAAATTGATAAATTAGAGGAAAATATATAATTCAAATTTTGGGTTATAACGAGTCGATAATAAGTGGAGATATAGACGATCTAATTTTTTTTTATCCAATTGATAAAAACTAACTAAATTTATATACCTCGTTTTTAAAAGGACACAAAAGGGACATGATAGAGGTTATGGTTTATTTTCCAAAATTATTCTCTTAAACATTTTTTAAATTTCAAGATTGTTCTATTTTGCATGTTTATTATGATACTATCTTATCTTTGATGCACCATGTGTCCATCTATATGCTATTTAAGTTATCAAAAACCCTATCTCATTAGACCCAACTCAAAACCTCAACAATAAAATAAAATAAAAAAATAATTGATATCCTTTATTTGTAGTCAATTTTCCATCTCTCCTACAACAAACAAAACTAAAAGTGATTTTAAAAAAGAAATTTGGACATCTAAAAAAATAGCAATTAAGGAACTAACTTATGATTTTCAAAACCAAAAGGATTGACTTACGTAATCGCAAAGCACAACTATTAAATTATCATTTTCTCATGAAGAAAAAAGAAACGAGAGGAAAATGTTGATTTGGCTAACATATGCTTGAACAAGCAAAAGGGTTAGGACTCGGGTTTTATGGGGATTGGTGGTTAGAGATGGCGGATTTTGAAGGTCTTAGTGGTTGTAATGGGTTTGGTGTAGAAAGGTAATGATAAATAGTAAAGGTTAAGGTTGTCTGGTTAAGGAATGACAGGAAAAGGAAAACAAAAACAAAAAAGAAAAAAACTATTAAATAAAAATAGGTGACGGATGTCAACATATGATAGAAGTTACTTGCTGATTGATTGGTAACCATGACTTTCAATCAAATAAGTACCCAACCAAGATGATTTTCAAAACGGAGATGAGATATTAAGACAAATAAAAATAAAGCGAAAAAAAAAGGAATAGTACAAAATCATGAATAAAGAGCTGCATAAAAGCTTTTAACCTATTATTACCACGTTTAACGTGAGATACCTCCCATTTATGGAAGGAATTTAGCGAAGATACATATTTCTTGATATATTGGATACCAACTAGAGCAAGGTCTATTACTTCTTCAATCTGCATCTTTTCGGAAAACTTCAAGGCCCATAGCATCATTGATGCTTCTACATACTCGACATTAGTAAGGTTTCCCATCTTCTTAGCAAAAGAAGCCAAAATCATGTAATTATTAAATTAGAATGTCAAGATTGAATTTCATTCAAAAAACTTCGGTTTTGCAATAAGTAGTTCACTTTTAACTTTATATATTACTTATTTATTGTTTATTTAATCAAGTTAGATAGATTTTTTAACATTCATCTTCACTTGTAAACCATCTTTTAAGATCCGGAAAATAATTTGAGATCTCGTGATCTTTGATGGGCTATTGAACCTCTTCAAGACTCTGCTACAATATTAAATTAGAAAGTTGAGATTATTAAATTAAAAAATTGAAATTAGAAACAACTCTTTTTCAATTTTGGTGGGATACATTACCTTGTATGGAATAAATATCAACCTTAATGCGATACGTACTTAAAGAAACTATCCCACATCGAATAAATAAATAATAAATAAAGTTGATAATAGCTCATCTATCACAAAATTTAAGTTTTTTTATTTATGTTTCATTCTTGAGTTTATATATTATTCATCTATTATTTATTTATTTGATATAAAATAAGTTTTTTTATATTATTTTTCACGAGTAACCACACCATATCCTACCACAATCCTACAATCCCATCGTATAGGCTTCCATTCAATTTTATTTAACAATAGTTGGAATACACATTTTTTGCGTAGTTGTTGGGTAGTAATTGTCTAAACTTTTTATATAAAAAATAAAAATGAAAATAAAAATAACAATGGTCCCGTAACTAGTAAAAAAAAGAATACTAGAAAGATGAGATGGTTTTAATGTTTTCGTTGGTTTAAGACCTAATATTATATACTCATAAACTTCAAGGACCAAATATAATTTGGCTTTTTGTGTGTTGTAAATCCGAGTCATGATTGCCTGTCGCCTTGTATTTTTTAATAAAAACTTTCCCCAGACGTCGCAGAAAAATGCATATAAATCTAACTCAAACTTGCCCAAGTCTAAATTTTGAAACTTTCATAATTTCCATGGCTAACAAGATTTTCTTGCTTCTTCTGCCATTGATTTTATCGTTTTCGTCCTCAACTTCACCATCTGATAGTTTAAGCAAAGGCTCATCTTTGTCAGTGGAGAACCCAAATGATGTTTTGACTTCACCAAGTGGTATTTTCTCCGCTGGATTTTTTCCGGTTGGAGATAATGCTTACTGCTTCACAATATGGTTTAGTAAACCTTTCTGTGACGGCAATTGCACAACAGTTTGGATGGCAAACCGTGACCAACCTGTCAATGGAAAACAATCAAGTCTGTCTTTGTTGAAGTCTGGTAATCTTGTCCTAACCGATGCCGGTCGGTTCACTGTTTGGTCTACAAACACTTTCTCACAATCTACAGTGAATTTACAGCTCAATGACAATGGAAATCTTATCTTATATGACTTGGAAGCCAGTGTAATACTTTGGAAGAGCTTTGATTTTCCCACAGATACTCTACTTCCTGAGCAGCCACTCATCAAAGACAAGAAGCTTGTGTCATCAAGAAGTCAAAGCAACTTTTCTTCAGGTTTCTTCAAGCTTTATTTCGACAACGATAATGTTCTCCGTCTTCTTTATGATGGTCCTGAGACTTCAAGCATTTACTGGCCAGATCCAGAGCTGATGAGCTGGGAAGCTGGGAGGTCCACTTACAACAGTAGTAGAATTGCTGTTTTTGATTCTTTGGGAAACTTTAGCTCAACTGATGATTTTACTTCTATGTCAGCAGATAATGGAGTAGGGATCCAGAGGAGATTGAAAATTGATTTCGATGGTAATCTTCGGTTATACAGCCGAGAAGATGGGAGAGACACATGGGTTGTTTCATGGCAAGCCCTGTCTCAACCTTGTAGGATTCATGGGACTTGTGGTCCTAACAGTTACTGCAGCTATGTTCCTGATTTTGGTAGAAAATGTTCTTGCCTTCAAGGATTCAAGCTCAATGATCATACGGACTGGTCTTTGGGTTGTGAAACAGAATTCAATCTTTCTTGTAGCAAAAACGATAGCGGCTTCCTTCAGTTAACTAATCTCGAGTTTTTTGGCTACGACTATGGCTTCTATCCTAATTACACCCTAGAGATGTGCGAGGATTTATGCTTGCAGACATGTGGTTGCAAAGGGTTCCAGTTCAAATTCATCAAGCACGACTATCCTAGTAACATTCCGTATTGTTTCCTGAAGACCGTATTACTAAATGGGCATCATTCACCAAATTTTGAAGGAGACCTCTACTTGAAAGTGCAAAAAAGCAGTCTCAACTCTGGAACTCCTGCTGAAGAATTCAGGTTGGATTGCTCTGGTGCAGTTGTCACCCAGCTGGGCAGAAGGTATGCAGAAAGCCATGAAAATGGAACGATTAAAGCTATACTTTGGTTTGTTTGTGCAGCTGGAGTAGTTGAGTTGTTTGGTGTTTTATTGGTGTGGTGTTTCCTGATAAGAAACCAAAACCACACGGGTGCCAGTAAACAAGGTTATTTTTTTATCGATACTGGCTTCAGAAAATTCACTCACTCTGAGCTAAAAAAGGCAACTCGGGGTTTTAGTGAAGAGATTGGAAGAGGTGGAGGGGGAATTGTATACAAAGGAATACTACCTGACGGTAGAGTTGCAGCGATTAAGCAATTAAACGAAGCCAATCAAGGAGAAGCAGAATTCCGAGCAGAAGTTAGCATAATCGGGAAGCTCAATCACATGCACTTGATAGAGATGTGGGGATATTGTGCTGAGGGAAAGCACAGGCTGTTGGTCTACCACTACATGGAGCATGGATCCTTGGCAGACAAGTTATCTTCTGATGCACTTGACTGTGAAAAGAGGTTCGACATTGCTGTGGGAACTGCTAGAGGCCTTGCTTATTTACATGAAGAGTGTCTGGAGTGGGTTTTACATTGTGATATAAAACCTCGAAACATACTCCTAGGTTACAACTACCAGGCGAAGCTCTCAGATTTTGGCCTATCTCGGCAGTTAAAAAGAGAGAGCCAAGCAGGTTCAAGCTTCTCTAGGATAAGAGGAACTCGAGGTTACATGGCTCCAGAGTGGGTTATGAATCTGCCAATCACATCTAAAGTAGATGTTTTTAGCTATGGGATGGTGTTGTTGGAGATGGTCACCGGAATGAATCCAACAGAGGACATGCAAAACAGAGGGTTGGTTACATGGTTGAGAGAAAAGATGAAGGAAGATAATGCAACCGATTCTTGGATAGAAAAAATGGTGGACCGTAATTTGAAAGGCAAATATGACAAAGACATTGGTAAGATGGAAATTCTGGTTCGGGTGGCTCTGAAGTGTGTGAATGATGACAAAGATGCAAGACCAACCATGGGGGAGGTAGTTCAGATGCTTTTGCACCATGAAAATGGTTCCGTATCCATCTAAGGAAGCCTCAAACCCAGTTTCTGATCATTCTGTACAAATGCCCTAAATATTATGTATCATAGATTTTATGCCACATTGTGTTTACTGCTGGAATGTAATGCACTTCCCTCGGCTAAGTAATGTTTATATTTTGCATTATCATATATATATATATATAGTCATAATTGTTTACCGGAGAGAGAGCCTCTTGGCTGATACGCGTGCAAATGAAATACAATTCAACTTGTACCTGAATTTTCGAAGTAAACCTCACCCCCAAAATAATAATAATAATAATAAAATAAAATCTGATACCCGTTGTTCCAAAGATCGGGCACTTCAGAAGACCCACTCAATCCTTCTCTGTTGGTCAACCTATAGTGTCAATGTCTGGCGATCTCCGGCGTACGACTTAAAAAAACAAAAAACCTCACGTTGTAAAATTTTATTTAAAAATTCATATATTAATAAATAAAATTATATTAAAAAATTAATTTGATTAAAATTTTAGTCAGAAACAAATAATTGAATAAAAAAATTTTAAACAATAAAAGTAAAAATAAAACTAAAAAAAATAAGAAAAAAAGTAATAGTGAAAAAAATTTTTAAAAAGAAAAAAAAACTAAGATTAAGTAGTATAGTATGAGAGTAAAGTAAATTCTCATACTGTGCAGAAAAAAATAGCGATTGATTTTTAAAAATTTTAACACTCAATAAAATAAAAAAAGAATATAAATTGATGAGAAAAAAAAACCAAAGAAAAAAATATATATAGTACATCAACTAGGGATTAAAATTTTTATTTTAAAATTTTAAAGATCAAAATAAAATAATTAAAAAATTAAAAAAAAAAACCTAAGACAAAAACTAAGGGTGAAAATTAAAAAAAAAATAAGAAAATAAGTAAGAATGAAAATTAAAAAAGGAGGAGAAAAAAACCTATGATTGAATAGTATAGTTGAAGGTAAAGTAAAAATAAATAAATAAATAATAAGATAAATATATTGTTTAAATTAACAGTACAATAAAAAAATGAAATAATTTTTAAAAAATAAGAAAATAAGTAAGAATGAAAATTAAAAAAGAAGGAGAAAAAAACTATGATTGAATAATATAGTTGAAGGTAAAATAAAAATAAATAAATAATAAGATAAATATATTGGTTAAATGAACAGTACAATCGCGTGATGGCTTCATTGTTCATCCGAACAGTGAAACCATCACACGTTTTAGTTTACTTAAATACATTATTCAAATAAACAGTACAATCACATGATGGCTTTACTGTGAAACCATCACATATTTTAGTTTACTTAAATATACTATTTAAATAAACAGCACAATCGCGTGATGGCTTCACTATTCATTTGAACAGTGAAACTATCAAATCTCCAGCGTATGACTCTGTCCACATAAAGATACCGTCTGATTGTTCTGATTAAAATCATAAAGATGCTGTCTTTTGTACGCTCAAATAACTAATATGAAATAAATTTTTGTTAGAACAAACAAATTAAATTATTAGTGCCCCTTATATTTTTCAATAATCTAGTCCAACTCCGATATTAAACAACACCGTATGATTTATTGATGACGCTTGTGCAAATGCAATAAGCTATTCGTTTCATTTTTAAACCTATTTACTAACACTAAGCCATTTTCTGGTTCAGAAGTTGAGTCAAAATTTTCTTTTCTTTTATGGAAAATACGATACATACACTCATCTTTCCATCTTCAAAATAACATTTCAAGTGGCTTATTTCTCTCCACAGAACCTTTTAGTTCTCACCTTCTCTGAGTTTCTTGCTTTTCCATCTCCATTATCTCTTCTGACCTATGAATCTTGTATAAGCTTGACACACAGCAATTGTAAAATGGAAACACTAAATAATCGATCCAATTAACAAATCATTTTGGGACTTCATTTGGTCGGACTCCAATCCCGAAACATATTCGGTAGCAACTTGCGGCATGAAGTGGTGAAATGTCTGCTGTTGCATAACTAAGAGGTGCGGTAAAAGAGTGAACCGGATACCAATATACTGCTTCTAGCAGTCCGCAAACCACTATAGTCAACTCAATTTGAATATGATAAAACAGCTTATCATCTCCACAAAGAGAAACTTCATACAACTCTAATCTGGAGCACAAGAACTTCTGTACACTCTTTTCATCGTATTGGAAGCAAGTTTAAAACTGATTCTAACCTCTCTTTAGCAACCATTTCTGGATTGCAGCCATTAACTTCAGTAAAAGAAAGAGCTTGAGGTTGAAAGTTGTTATCAGACGCTTCCATGATGTTCTGTAACCTCACAATTGCACAAACTTGATTAAGCCTGCATTGGATTTAATGAGCAATATTTATTATGTACAGAGGGATGAAAAAACATTGAATAGGTACACGTCCAAAAGAACAAAGAGGTGACGACGACTTGGGGTTAATTATTAACCCATATAAACCAGAAGGGCACTATAGTGCTCTAAACCAAAAATGGTGTGCCATCAAGCATCAACACCTTTAAACTACCAGTACCTAAACATGAATGATGTCTTACAAGATTAATTGGGTATAGAAAACTAACCAATAATCACTTCTTATTTTTTAGTTTTATCAAGAATCTCAATGTATCTTTTGGGCACCCCATACTGTTCAACCAGATGTCTTGCCACATCATCAATTACACCACCTTGAATAAGGACCTCATGCCCTTTCTTACCTGAGAAAATAAAAAATGAGCACACAATTTCAGGCACATCATATAAACAAAAATGAATTAAGCAAATCATAAAAAGATTCAAGAGTCAGGAACCACAAAACATGGAACATAATCTAGTCCTGTAACTAAAGTTCCAAACATTCCTCAGATGCACTTATTTAAGGTTATGCCATTCCAAAAGAGTAAATAGAAATCTGAACAGCTGCCACATTACAAGCAAATAGAGATTTTTTCCTAATCTCACAACTCCACCACAAACCATCCAACTTCCTGACACCGCAACATCCAACACTATCATTGCAGTCACTTCCACCACTACAACCAACATTGGCACTCCCACAATGTTACAACTTATGCAATCTCTATAAGAGAACTCTTATAAACTAGGATGCACTTTTTCAGTTGCATTAAATTATAATTAGTTTATCCCTGCTTAATTGCTGAAAAGAATAATAATAAGAAGCCCAATCCAACAAGAATAATAATATAAATCCAATCCAGAAACTTAATTTTAGGTTACCCAATAAACAAAACAAAGGGTTCCATTTATATTATAGGATCAGAGCACTTCAATCCTACTACTTTCTACCTACTTGTAATTTTTGATCGACCAAGTTGTGCAGGATAGTGGCACCTTACGGTTCAAATCCAAATCAACACTTGTCCCTCTGGCAATTCTCACCTCCACTCCACTAATAACATTACAACATCAGTCCCTTACTGATACTGCCACATAAATTGCTCTCACTCTTACAGAAATTTTATCACAACTAGCACAAGCACTTTGTGCCACTGAGGCTACTTGCTACAACTCACGCTAGCAGTCAACTTCTTGTTTAAAGGGTGTTTGAAACTGGACACTGAAAATGAAATTCCAGTACAAGGCAAAAAAAAAAAAAAAAAAGAAGAAGAAAAAGAACTAGACATCAACCTGAACACACAAGACACAAATTACCCACCTTCAGTATCTGCAGGCATTTGATCTTGCTACCAGTGTCTGTGGGAAATATGCCTCCAATTTAGGAGGAACGGAATCTTCCTATTTAGGAAGAAATCAATCACTGTAATCACAGAAAATCAGAAGGAAATATGACCCTAATTTCCTATTCTAATTTTCCTAAATTGTGGCTTCCTATTCTGGTGTATATGGCTACTATAAAAGGAACCTGCTGCTGCTGTATTTTGTGTGATAGAAATAAAGAGTTGAAACCTTTCTCCTATGGATGTAGGTCTTCATGACCGAACCACGTTAAACTTTGTGCTTTTTTCTTATATTTCTGTTTTATGGTATTAGAGCCAGGTTATCCTCTAGCCAAAGAACCAAACCAACTCTAGCCAACCTTAGCTGAATAGATGGCAAGCTCCACCCCAACTACGGAGGAATCAATTAGGATCCCTACCGTTGTCAACCCACAAACCTCAATTTTATCCAATCCTACCGATAACTTCTCAATCCAAATCACCTCTCACAAACTAAATGGGAGTAATTTTAGGGAGTGGTATCAATCGGTTTTACTAGTGATCAAGGGCGGAGGGAAGATGGGATATCTAACCGAGGCAAAGAAGGCACCACCATTAGAGTCAGCTGATTATGGAGTTTGGGAGGCTGAAAATTCTACGGACATGGCATGGCTAATAAACTCTATGACCAAAAACTCAAACGGCTGTATTTATTCTACCAAACAGCAAAGGAAATATGAGATTCAGTGAGAGATAAGTATTCACATTTGGAGAACATATCACAAAATTTTGAGGTTCGTTCCAAAATTCGAAATATTCATCAATGTACATCATCCGTTACTGAATATTTCAATAACATGTCAGAATTGTGGCAAGAAATTGATATGTTTCACAATATATCTTGGAGATATGCTGATGATGGGGTGCTCTATAGCAAAATGTTAGAAAACGACCGAATTTTTGATTTTTTGCACGGTTTAAATCAAGAACTAGATGATGTCAGGGGACGAATACTTGGTATAAAACCATTACCCTCATTAAAGGAGGTCTTTGCTGAAGTTTGGTACGAAGAAACAAGGAGGAAGGTGATGTCGTTGCCACTCGCTGAATACAACGAGTAGAGGCAGCAATGCAAGGATCAGCTTTGGTGATAAACCGAAGCAAGGAAAACAGTTCAAAGGGGGCTGATTTGGGAAGGATATGCAGGTATGGTGTGAGCATTGTAAAAGACCATATCATACTAAGGATAAATGCTGGAATCTCCATGGAAAACCTAGAGATTGGAAGCCGAGAAATCAAAGGAAGAAGGTTGTCTATTCAGCTGAAACAACAGTAGATGCAAACCCTCAACCGTTTACAATTGAACAATTAGAAGTCCTTAAGAAATTGATGAAATCTAATACGGAAGAATACAAATCTGCTCCCTCTAATTCCACTCGGTTCCTCGACCCTAACAACTCACAAAGGTACGAGTTCCTTTTTTATCATACAAGACAAAATATGATTCTTGGATAGTAGATACTGGGGCTTCGAACATATGACAGGTTCAATTGTAAGGATGAGCAATTATAAACCATGCAGAGAGAATTTTGGAGTTACGAGTGGCAGATGGAACTATATGTACAGCAAAAGGGAAGGGAGACTTGGACATAAATGAGCTAAATTTAAAATCTATGCTTTATGTTCCGGAATTAAAGTGTAATTTATTGTCGATGGGTAAAATTACTAAGGACCTGAATTGCTCGTGACATTTTCTCCCTCTCATTGTGAATTTCAGTATTTTTCATCGGGGAGGACGATTGGGAATGCCGAGGAGCGACATGGTCTCTATTATGTGTCGTGTGTTGGACCCTCCTCAAGCTCTAGGTCATCTAGTGTTTTGTCCTCATTTTTCAATTCGATGTTCGGTTATTGCACAATAGATTGAGTCATCCTAGTTTTCATTATTTGAAACATTTATATCCCCATTTATTTTTCAATAAAAATCCTTCATGTTTTCAATATGAACATTGCATCCTATCCTCCCCATCCTTACAAACCTTCAAGTCCATTCCATTTAATTCATAGTGATGTATGGGGACCATCACGGAAACAAAATTTTATAGGAGAACGATGGTTTGTTACTTTTATTAATGATCATACCCGTGTGTGCTTGAGTCTATCTAATGAAGGAAAAATTAGAAGTAATAAGAATTTTCAAGCAATTTCATAAGCTTATTACAAATGTCTTTCAATTATCCATTCTTATATTTCGAACGGACAATGCAAAAGAATATTACCCTAATGAACTAAATGACTATCTCCAAGAAAATGAAATTGTTCATCAAAGTTCATGTGTGTCTACCCCACAACAAAATGGAATTGTTGAAAGAAAAAATCGTCATCTTTTAGAAGTGGCTAGATCCATCATGTTTGCACGTCGAGTTCCAAATCACTTTTGGGGGAAGCAGTTCTTACGACTACAATCCTAATCAATCATGTTCCTTCAAAAGTTCTCAAATACCAAACTCTCCTTGATATTTTACTATTTGTCTTCCCTACTTCACGAGTCCATAATACTCTTCAACCTCGAGTTTTTGGGTGTGTAGTATTTGTTCATAACCTTCAACCTAATCGAGGCAAACTAGATCCGAAAGCCCTAAAATATGTTTTTCTTGGTTATTCTCCCACTCAAAAGGATTATAAACGTTATCATCCACCTACCAAACGTGTCTTTATTTCTTATGATGTGACCTTTCTCGAGAATCAGCCTTTCTACTCCCAAGTTTATCTCCAAGGGAAGAATGATACTCAAGGAGATAAACATTTGGATCTCACCTTTCCAGTAATTTTTCCTTCAATTACACACCCAAGTGGTTTCTATATTCAAGCCTAATGGAACCGATCAAGGGAGAGGGTCCGATCTTGGTCAAGGAGGAGAGTTGAATAATGTTGATCCAAAACCGATTCAAGTCTATTCTAGGAGACCACGAGCTCCAATGCAAACCCATGAGTCCGAACCAAGTGGCGATTCTAACAACAACAATGACGAAGAGGATGGGTTAGGTGGTGAACAGACCTTATGATTTGGATCTTCCAATTGCTTTAAGGAAAGGGATAAGAACTTGTGTTAAAGCTCCTAAATATCCTATCTCAAATTATGTTGCATACTCTAAGCTTTCAAGAGATTTTAAGGCCTTCATTGCCCATATTGATGAAATACAAGTTCCTAAAAATATTGATGAGGCTCTTCGAAATCCTAATTGGAAAGAAGTCGTGTTGGAAGAACTGAAGGCATTAACAAACAATGATACTTGGGAAATGGTGCAACTACCAAAAAAGAAGAAAGCAAGTTGGAAGTAAGTGGGTTTTTACAAGTAAAATATAAACCCGATGGAAAAGTGGATTGGTTGAAGGCAAGACTCGTAGCACAAGGCTTCACTCGTACCTATGGAATTGATTATGAAGAAACTTTTGCACCAGCTTGCCAAACTCAACACTTTCCGAATCCTATTGTCTATTGCCGCCAATCTGGATTGGAGATTACATCAATTAGATGTGAAGAATGCATTCCTTAATGGTACACTAGAGGAAGAGGTGTATATGAAGTATCCCCCAGGATTCGAGAAAGAAGGAGAAGTAAACAAGGTCTCGTAGATTGAAAAAATCATTGTATAGCTTGAAACAATCTCCTAGAGCTTGGTTTACAAGTCGGTATACAAGCTATACTCATTGTATATGTTGATGATATGGTGATCACAGGTGATGATGAAGTGGAAATTAGCAATCTCAAGAAAAGACTTCGAGCAGAGTTCATGGTAAAGGATCTAGGAGAACTGAAATACTTTTTAGGGATAGAAGTCGCAAGGAGTCGCAAAGGAATTTTCATCTCACAAAGGAAGTACACACTAGATTTACTCAAGGAGACAAGAAAGCTTAGTTGTAAGCCTTCTAGTACACCTTTGGAAAGACACTCGGAAGCATAAAGTATCGGATGATGATCCCCCGCAAATAGAGAAAGGTATCAACACTTGGTAGGAAAATTGATTTATTTATCACTCACAAGACCGTGACATTGTCTTTAGTGTAAGTATAATAAGTCAATTTATGCATGCTCCCACTAAGAGGCATATGGAAGCAAGCAAATCAGATTCCGAGATACTTGAAGGGGAGTCCTGGCAAAGGTCTACTCGTTTAAGAAAAATGAAGCTAGAGATGTTGCTGGCTTTTCGTATGCAGATTGGGCAGGAGGTATTGATGTTAGCAAGTCAACAACTCGGATATTGTACCAAGGTATGGGGAAATCTAGTGACTTGGAGAAGCAAGAAACAATCTGTGGTGGCTCGGAGTAGTGCGAAGCCGAGTATAGAGCTATAGCTCAAGGAACTTGTGAACTTATTTGGATTCAGAAGTTAATGAAAGACCTAAACATGCCAAAAACAAGCCCTATGAAGCTGTTCGAGTGACAGCAAATCAGCTATCGAGTGTTGTTCACAATCCAATCCAACATGATCGAATGAAACATGTGAGGATTGACGAAATTTTATCAAAAATGAGATAGACAATGGAACTATTGTTCTGTCTTATGTCCCTATCAAATCTCGTGAAGTCGATATTCGACAAAAGCTCTTCGTAAATCAAGTTTTAATATCCGTCTTAGCAAGCCGGGAATGACCGATATCAATTGACCAACTTGAGGGGGAGTGTGGGAAATATGCCTCCAATTTAAGAGGAACGGAATCTTCCTATTTAGGAAGAAATCAATCATCGTAATCACGTGAAAATCAAAAAGAAATATGGCCTTAATTTCCTATTCTAATTTTCTTAAATTGTGGCTTCCTATTCCGGTGTATATGGCTACTATAAAAGGAACCTCGTTGTTGCTGTATTTTGTGTGACAGAAATAAAGAGTTGAAACCTTTCTCCCGTGGTTGTAGGCTTCATGACCGAACCACGTTAAACTATGTTTTTTTCTTATATTTCTGTTTTAGTGTCCGGTAGGTGACTCATTTGATTTGCTACCTCTACCATCTTCCTTCATTAATGTCATTGTCTATTAAGCTCCAAAATGACTAACAATGAAATTCCATCAAGACAAGATGACCATCCTTGTTACTTTGAATTCATCTTCTTAAATGATAGAAAGGATCATCATTTGATGTGGTCGCATAAAAAGATTTTTGCATCTCATTTTCTTAGGTTTGATGGCAAATTTTCCCCCCATTGTAATGTGATTTCGTAATTTCAGACCTATAATATCAAATTGCATAATTTAAGCCCAAAATGTCGGAGATTGGGCAAATATGATCCAAATTGCCTTATCTCCATTAAATGTAACGAGTTAACTCGGATTGATCGTTACTTGGAATGTCAAAACGATGTCGTTTTAGCATTCCATTGTTAATAATTTAAAAAATATATATTTTTAACCCCCATAATCTTCAACTTTTTTTGAAAAAAAAATTTCTTATAAAATTTTATAAACATTTTATAAATTACATAAAAAACATTTTATAAATATGCTTAACCCTCTAATTTCAAACTTTTTCTTATAGAATGTTATTTTCAAAAAGAAAATCATTAACAATTCACAATTCCAAGCCTTAGAAAAACATTTTATCAATTAAAATAAGCATGATTAACCATCCTAATTTTATAAATTATAAAAAAAAAACATTTTTTTATAAAATATTATAAATATTTATAATATTTTATAAAAAAAAGTTCAAAAAAAAATCAAAATTAGAAGGTTAAAAATATTTATAAAATGTTTTTTTATATCATTTATCAAATTTTTATAATATTTTATAAGAAAAAAGTTTTAAAATAAGTTCAAGATTAGGAGGTTAAAAATATTTTTAAAATATTTTTTTTAAAAAAAACATAATTAACAGCGAAATATCAAAGCGATGTCGTTTTGACATTGTTGGGCATTTTGGATCGCATTTGCCCAATCTTCAATATTTTAGTATTCAAATTACGCAATTTGATATTATAGATTTGAAATTGTCAAATCACAATAGAATGGAGGCAAAATTTGCCATTAAACCCATTTTCTTACCATGTGATCTATTACAACTGATTTTGCAATAGATTAATAGACAAAACAGACGCTTTCACGCATTTCCCTCTTCTTTTTGTTTCATGTTTTTGTAAGAGAAGATGTCACAAAAAGAAAAGAATATATAGAAATTACTCGGAGAACAATTAATACTCCAAAATGTCCATAGAACCACCTTAGTCCGATTATGAGACACATGAAACCTATTCTTTATCCCTTAAGTAGATGAACAAACTTGGATTGCACAACATCCAAACAAAATTACACAACTAGGGGAAACTCCAAGTAACACAAAAGGCGAGAAATGCTATGGCTGAAGAAGTCCATTCAATAATATCAGCTAATTAAGTGAAAGATTGCTGAAAGTTTTTTCTTTTTTTGTTTTCTCTTTTTTTTCTTTTTTATAAATTAAAGGATGTAGTATACAAAATTCACAAGCAGTTTAACAGCATACAAGAAACTTCACATAAAAGTTACTTCGGTTATTCCTCATTATCCTATTCTCATTCTCCCAAGATGCTTTGATAAAGAAGCAACACAAACAAGTTCTACCTACAGCCACTACCACAAAACAAGAGGAGAAAAAGTTACCTGGTAACTCTGCCACTGATGTACTGCAAGCAAACTTTTTCTGCAGCTCTGATGCCCATGCATCAGCGTCCATCAAGAATGTTTCCATGCCCGAGACTTTTGTCACCTTCTTGTTACCTTGACGCCTTTCAGTCACTATCTGAATTGTTTTCAGCGAACCTTTACGAACAACTGATTCACTTCCTCTAGTCACGATGTGGTGGGCCTGCATCCGACTTACAAATGCTGATCCCAAATCTCTCTTATGAATCTCAGTCGGGTATGTCGATCCTTTCTTAATAGCTCCCTTGAACAAAGCATCACATAATTTTGGATCCAGAACCACAATAGACTTGTTCATTGGCTTTACCAGGTTTCCTTTTTCAATGTACTTGAAGACAACATCAGAGGCTTCTGAAGCACTGTATAGCTTACCAGTATCAGCTCCAACAGCAGCAAAAATGGGATTGACATGCACACTTGGTTTATAAATCTCAGACACTTCAAGCAGTTTTGGCGATCGGGTTTCTTTAACAGCCTGCTCACCACCCTGATCAACCTTCTGCTCCTGCCTTCTCTCTGGCTTGAAGGATAAGTAGTCTAGGTGACAGCGGTTCACAGAAAATAAGACAGTTTCCTTTTTATATTTGTCTTCTTTTACTGAAATCTGTTCAAAGAAAAAACCGTTGCATTCTCAGCATTAAGCGTATGTACACTTAATACATGTGCAACTTAACACAAAGTAAGATTGATTATACAACACACACACACACACACAATATGTGAAACAACATTCATATGCAGATCCTGCATCAATAACCCATTTCCTATCTCCACTTGCATTGATTACATTGCCATAAGGAAAGAGACATGCAGACACAAAGTTGAAGCCCTCCACTGGATTTTTTTCTCACCCATTATCATACAAATCTACCAGAAAAGGCCACATAAACATGAACTCAAAACCTTACCACTTTCCCTGTGATTGATTGGCAACAGACTCGAGAAGGAACAATAATTTTTCCTTTGTGATCATACAATTCAGTAAAAAACAATCACTACTTAGACTGGAACTCCATGGGAGCATATTGTTGTTCATGGAATGGAAGCTCTCAAAGACTCAAATACTTAATGGAACCTATCTCTCAGCATTCCCCGCCACGGTAAACTAGAAAGCCCACGTCACCTTTATCCATGTTTATGTAATTAGCAACAGCAGCACTATTATCAGTTGCCATCCCAAAGAGAGAAAGAAAGAAATTCTTCAAAGCCTTCTGCAATTAAACAATAAATCCCAAAATAGCAGCACATTGTCATTCCCCTCGTTATGACAAATTTCTCCTGCTTCCATGGAGAACAAACAGAAACCAAAGCAGGCTACACCCACTTATACCTTTCTTAGTGTTCTATGCTTTGTCAACATGGTTGTTCACTGAGATTTACGGTTATCTCAGCAATACACCCAGCTGCCACTCCTTATGGGTATTAACTATAGAAAAAAATGATCTGACATCTTGCACAGCCATGCAATAGACTATATACTGACACCTAGATGTGCGTCAGCAAGTACCTGAATGTAAGAACTACAATGGCAACTCAACAGCATTCTCATTGCACTCAAATCAACTACTTCTACCAAACCTTGTTATTAAAGCCTTAATTCTCAATATGTGCAACTTCTACAATCATGTGAATGCCCTAATTTGTTCCAATTCCTCCACACATTTTAAATACCTCTATTATTAGTTATGCCATTTTATGGAAACGTACCATTGTCTAGCATTCCTTATCATAAAGCAGAGCCAGCCCAATCGGAGTTTTTATATACTTCATCCATCAAGCAAAGCCTTATTAATAGTGTTATAGACACCAGTGGCATCTTTCCTCTTTAACCACCCAATTTCATTCCACAGGTACGATCATAAACAGTTAACCCATATTTCAAGTTTTGACTGATTTTATCTACGGGAAATGAATCATGTCTGGTATCTGTCAATGACAAATGTTCAAGGTTTTCAGCACAGAACACTGACGATTTATCTAAGGGAAATGAATCATGTCTGGTATCTGTCAATGACAAATGTTCAAGGTTTTCAGCACAGAACACTGACGAATAAAGGAGCAGATGTAGATTTTTTTTCTGGAGTGAACTCAATGATGGAGAAGATATTAGATCATTTGATCCCTAGGGTGGTGTCACAAATCCCAAGAATGTAAGCATGACCACTCCCCATCAGAACCTTATTATCAAGGACAAGGTCTTCCAGAGTACATGAATATGATACTAAGTTTGGATCATCTGCTACTCATGCAAACCAATGGAAATTCTTCTCACAAGTATCCTTTTGTTTCGTCCCTCTAATAAAATATGAAAGAGGTAACAGTAGATCTATGAGTAGAAGATGCTTCTTTCTCTAATGCATTTCCTCACTAATACAGAATGCATAAAGCTCACATTTCTTGGCTTTTGTAATGGGGAGGGTTTCGTGTCTTGTGCCATTCTCATTTATTTTGAGAAACCAGACTGAGAGAAGTCTTGATTATTTTCTATAATTCCATTCCTTATTCTTCCACTGATACCTCAAGAGCTAATTGCAGGATATAATCTACAGAGACATCTGGTAATTTCTCATGTGCATAAATATTTTCATACCTCACTAAAAGCCTGCTATATTTGTAATCTCCTGATCAGTTCTATCTAGAAAGTCATGATAAATGTTGACAGATGGTAGTTAATGGGCATAACACTATGTTGCTTGCTAAGAGGCCACATAACTCCCTAGCATGCATGCTAAGTGTCACACCTGCGAATTATAATATTGCCCTAAACTGAAACGTTTTTGTTATTTCTAACGAACAATGGTTTTTTTGTTAAACGTATAAAAAACAATAACAAGAAAAAAAAAAGGTTAGCATATTAAGACAACGCTATAGAAGAACAAAGAAAAGATGCACATTGTTTGTACAACATGACTAACTGACTAGAAAGAGAGGAAAATGGGAAGCATAAAAATGGAGGGAAGAACCCACCAATCCTGCAGATGATTTAGCTTGTAGCCACTTCGACAATTTCTTGTGCGATGATTTCTTGATATCTAGTGTGATACCTGAAGGCCTACAAGGTAAAACATGGTTGGACCTGCACCAATCACAAACATTTGTTATAAAAGTGAGCAAAAGAATCGTGGAAAAAAAAATCCCACTCAAACATGAAAAATGCAAGCTAAAATCTTATAGGTAACTTAAGTTCTAGGCCAAAAATATTCAAGTAATATGCAAATCAAATTCTCAGTTGGAAAAATGTCAAGCCTTGTGCATCTGTGTGTGTAAACAGTAATATAAGAATCCAGCTCAGCTACAATTATCATGATTCCACAGTCAAATTTAACAGAAGTCATTATGGAATTCATATATTCTACATTAATGCAGATCAAATATACTGATCCAAGGTTTCCAAACTTCTGGAATGCCAGTTAAATCTATAGAATTCTAGAAGATTTCACATTCATCTACAACCAAATTCCTGAAGCCTGATGTTAGAGATTGCATAACCAGGAATGGGAAATAGTGAAGGGAATGGTAATAACACAATTCCATCTTAATAACATCGGTTCGAAGGTCTCTAGAAGAATGGCATGTGCATATGAAATTGGACGACTGCTACACTTTCCTTTCTCAATTTAGCAATGGCAGTTTTTCCAACACTACAGACTGGACACTTTAATATTCCCCCAACTCAACATGCACACAGAGCATGCAGATGCACAACCATGAAACATCCATGCAAAAATCCAAAACATAAGTTTTGAGGCATCATGTACTTGGATTCTCCCAAAAAAAAATGACTTTAATCATCTGAATTCAAGGCTAAAAAGATCATCTCTTAGAAGGTGTAAGGTTTAATCCCTTTTTTGTTTTTTTTTTCATTTCATTTGAGAGCTAGCAGTTTTAATCAGTTTATGGTTTTAGGCTTCGCATTGGTTTCCTCACATTCTCTTTTGGTTGTAGAGACTTAGAAGAGTTTTTTGAAGGGAAGAATCCTCAGGATTCTAGGCTAAAATATTTTTCCTTGAATGATCTGCCGAGCAGACAAGCTCAATTCTAAGCAATTTGACAACAACTAGCTTCCTTGTATGCTTACAGGGTACAGGAAGTGGTGCCCCTCTTTTGGAATCTCGATTAAGATACCTTTATCCAACTGATGGAAAAATGACAAAAGGAGATGAACATTACCATAAAGTGCTTCCAGGCATTGGAAGATCTTTGTCCTTGACAGTTGTATGCAAGGCTTGCAAAAGACATTTGTCCAAATAAGCATCCACATCTTCAGTAGATAAAGTATGCTGTTCTTCAACAATAGTGGTGGATTCATCAGCAGCAATATTGGCTGTAACCTTCAAATCACCCACAACTGTAGTTACTTGTTCTACAATATCCGTTTCAGAATCAAGTTGTGTCATGGAAGTGGGATAAATTTCTGATATGGAACCTTTTACATCAGCAGATTCCTCAACGTCTTTTCTGTCAACACCATTATTATCATTTGAAGCATTGCCAGAACCTTCACATGAATCAGGAACCTGGACAGATGATGAGAATACAGGATCCTCAAAGACAACATCTTCAAAGAAACCTGCATTTGGCACATAATGTCCCTCAACTGACTCCCTGCAGATGATTCCTCTAGCATGTCAAAGATGAAAATACTTAATAACCAATCTCTCCAAATAGAAGGTACACTAACCAAAGTAAGTCACGATAATAGTGAGTTATCCTTAAAGCCTTTCCACGCAAGCCAGCCTTCAGGGCTTCAGCGGTGCTCATAGTGGTAGACCCAACCTGCACAAAAGCAAATTTTCATCATCCTTACTCATAACAGTCGTAATCTAGATCGAATCAGTCATGATAAAGATAGAATCAGAAGTGTAAACAACTCTCCAAGAGAGGGCATGAGCAATAATACCCAAGTGAAAAAGAGAGAGAGAAGCTTACGGCAATAGGTGCTGGATTCCCAGGAACTTTTACAGCCCATGTTTCCCCTGCTAAAAAAGAAGGAAGACCTTCAGCAGGTATACTGATACCAGGAAACATCAGATCTGCTCCTCCAATCACAAATCGTGAAACCTCACCCCCTTTCAGAATGAAAGAAGGCAACATTTCAGGGACCTTCCAAAGGGAAAAAACTGCACCAAGAGATGGACAGAATTAAAATCAAACAAGAAAACAAACAAAAATGTATTTCACCACACCATCAAGATTTATTCCAGAAGTTCTGGTTTATATAATTGTGTTGTTTAAGATTAGAGAATGAAATTGGAGGTTCATTTGCTGGAGGCCACTTTATTCTTCCTTTTAATGGAAGAGAACTCATATATTATTAGTCAAATATGAAGAGAAGTATATCCTTTGCATCATCATCCAATAGTAAGACTGAACACCGATTCAAATATTTACTCCAGTATTTTGTGATCACCATCTCCTGTCCTTGTGTCTTGACTCTAAATTTAAATTGTGTGTTTAATTAAGTTTAATTCTATTTCTTAACATTTCAATTACTGAAGCAAGACACAAAATTTCAGGTTGCTGGTTTCTATCAAATAGCTAATAATTCAATCAAATTCTCCACAAGAGATAAACTTTCTGAGAAGATTATTCACATATATATAAGCTAAAACACCAAATAAGCTTCATGTAAGAACCTCCACAGGCCCCTTCGGCAAAAGCTCATTTATCCTCAATTCAATTCAATCCATTCTTGATAATTTGATTTAGCTTTCCCACTCAAAATCAACTAAAAAGTGACTTAGAAGAATCCTCATCTATATAAAGTGATTTAGAAGAATCTAAAACCACTAAACCATCATATATTCTCCTCACTTTCAGGAAAAACAGTATAACAAGCAGGTATGGCATGAAAGCATTCCGGTTCATACATACATTTTAACAAACTTCAATTGCTTGTGAATTAAATTCAAGATAGTAGATTGAAACATAGCCCATGAAAGAGTGAAACCTAACCTGTGGGAAAAATTTCAGAGCCTCGGCCATCAACATCGAAAAACGTAGGAAAGCTACCTTCAACACCATATACAAGAACCCTATTTTGAAACTTGGAAACCGTAATCTCGGCCTAAACACAACAAACATATCAAAACAAAACATAAAATCATCAGTCCATAAAGCAATAATCAAAACAGCAATCATCTCTTCCTATTATCGTTAACATATTGACAACGAGGCAATTTAGCACAAAAAACTAATTGCTTCTTCTTTCCAGCACATTTCGACAGGAAAATTCTTTTTTTTTTTTTTACGTGTAAAAAAGAAAATATAAATTTTAATACTAAATTTAAAAAAAAAAATCAAATGAATCAAAATTAGAACTTAAGAATAAGAGAAAACTATTAAATTCACTAAACAGATAATAATAACGTTTCATATCAAATAAATAAATTGAGAAAAATGAGAAAAAAAAAAAAAAAGGCGTTACTTTGGGAGGGAGCAGAGCATCGATATCGGCATCAGAGGCACGAGGAAAGCGGTCTCTTAAGGTTCGTTTGAGCTTTTTCCGGTCGGCTCCAGAGAGTCTCTGGTGAGATTTTGCCTCTATTGCCTTCTTGAACATCTTTACTTTAATTAATAATTTTGGGGGAGAAGGAAGTGGAACTGGAGTTATTTAGAAAGTGTGTAATGGAATCAGTGTAATTTGTGTTCTGTTTCTTTTAAGAAGAGGATGTTTCTGGAGAACCAGCATGGCGGTGCCTGGCAGAGAAAGCAACGATTTTTTTAATATATATTAAGGTGGGATTTCAGAACCGTGAATTTTACTGTTCATCTCCTCATAAAGCAATGTTTACTCAGTTTTTTTAATTTTTAAATTGTTTCATTTTGATCCTTGAAATTTTAATTCCTTAGTTGATGCAGTACATATATTTTTTTCCTTAAATTTTTTTCATCAATTTATATTCTTTTTTTCATTTAATCGAGTGTTAAAATTTTAAAAAATTAATCGTTATTATTTTCTATACAAACTGATTTAGCCTTTAAAATTTTAAAATAAAAATTTTAATCCTCTAATTGATATAGCACACTTGTTCTATATAACTAAAAGAATTGAAGTTTCGTCACTATTCATTTATTATAGCTCTAAACTCATTTACACGGCAGACAGTTATTTTGTATTTTTTGGACTTTGGTGGATGATAATATAAAAATTATACAACTTTTTATAATTTGATTCCCGATATTTTTGAACGAATATTTCGATCCACATCTTCATTTACTTATACATTTTGATCCCCGCATTTAGAGAGAAAGGAGGGAAGAAGAGAGAGATAGGAGAGGCCAAGCTTATTTAGGCTTCTTTGACCGACGAAAATCCATTAAATTTTTTTATATTTGAGAGATGAGTTTGTCCATGGTGGTTTCAAACCATTAAATAATCAAAGGAGATAGATCGAAGCCAAAAAAGGAAAAAAAGTTCGATTTGATTGTGTATGTTTTTATTTTGGTGTACATTAAAATCATTTTAAGGTTTTAAATGTATTTATTAACTTTATTTTGGTCATTTAAAGATGTTTGGAGAAAAAATAATGCCAAAATTGAATTTTTCGAGATCTAAAACTTGACTCTCGATTTTTCGACGAAGCTTCGACGCGACCTTGAGTTCGTAGAAAGTTATAAATTATTTTTTTTTTTTTTTTTTTTTTTTTTTTTTTTTGCCCAAGTAACCTAGGCCTAAAGAAGTAAGCCCAAGTTGCCTTGGCTCGTAAGCTTGAGTAGTCTTTGCTTGGTGCTCAAGCTTGCACATGCGAGCCTCGGCTCGTTAAGGGCCAAATTGGCCTCGTGTGCCTGGCCTCGCACAAGCATCCCAAGCACACGAGCCTAACCCTTTTTTTTCTTTTGTTTTTCTTTTTGTTTTTTCTTCCAATAATTTTTTTTTATCATAGAATTAGGTGTGCAAAAACATAGAAAATAAATCTTTATTTTCTTTAGTTTTACATATAGTTTGACAAGTGATAGGATATATATAATTTTTTATTATTTTTTTTGTTGGAACATGTATGTCTAATTATATTACTCTTATTTTTAAAATTTATTTCTTCCATTATTTTTTTCTTATTAAAATTCTCATCAAATTAGTTTTTTAATTTTTTGGTATAATATTTGTTAATAAATTTGGTTTTTTTATATATGGATTTTGGAATAAAATTTTAGAATGTAGGTGTTTTATTTTTTAAAATATATTATTATAATTTATACGATAAATTATTTTTATGATTTTTAAATAAAAGTAGCATAGTTGCATATATATAAATATAATTTATCGAAACCAATTTTGTAGTGGTTTCGGGAGAGAGAGAGTGAATGAAAAGTGTGTTTTAGATAATTTGAATAAATTTTTTTAAAAAAAATTAATAATTGGTTTAAAAAACTCACGGGTTTTATTTGCTTTTTTACATATATGATTAGGAGTTATCGAACCAATTTTATAATAGTTTTTATTTTAATCTATTCACTTCGATATATTTCATACAATTTAGGTGGGTACATATACATGAATCATTAGTTTTGTTATAAATTAATCTATTCTCTTCAATATATTTTATATAATTTATGTGAGTATATATATACATAAATCATTACTTTTGTTAGAAATTAATTATTTATGTACATACATAACATCAATTATTGATTTTTATTTTTTTTCATGTTCTAAGATATGTATTTTTAAATAAAATAATTAAAATAATATTTTGAAAGGGTCTTCCAATTATTCAAATACAAATTTTTATGCTAATATTATTAATTATTTTGTTAATAAATATGTATAAATCAAATAATTTTGCTCAATATATAGGTTCGATTTACATTAATCACCGAAATAAGATTTCTACTCACACCACACTATATGAACCGTTAGCCCTACGTGAGTAAAAGTTGTCCGACCGCAGCGTAACGTAGATATCTAACTAATATATAATATAACTCCTCGAGGGTATGATAAAATTCAAATCCTATCTATTTATTATTATTATTGAGAATTTTTTAGTTCATGACATAATTCTCATTTGGCTTTCTTATAGAATATGTAAAAAACATAATTAAAGATGTACTTACATAATCAATATTTATTAGATTTGATTATCTTCCATCAAAATAAACAAAGAGAGGATTTTTTATGTCTAACCTTTAATTTTTTTTTCTATTTTAGTACCCAAAAGTTGATTTCCTATGATTTGCTACCTAAGTTTGAATTTTTTGTTTGTTTTAGTGCTTGAGTTCACCCGAAGTCCAATTTTGCTGACGTATCGGGCGAGATCCGTCACGTGGTAGTAAAAAATGCCACATGACAAGAAAATGTCATGTGGCGATTAACTCTACCATGTTCCAATCAACCCTCGTCACGTTGTAATAGTCAACTTTGTCATGTAACAAAACACTCAACCCGACCACGTCGACACGTAGCAATTAACTTTGTCATGCCAACACCTTATACTCTTAGGTAACTATAAGCACTAAATAGAGGGGAAAAAAATAGGCATTGAAACCAAAAAAAAAAAAAATATTAAAGATTAAGTACCAAAAATATAATTTTTTTAAAGAAATTTATTATCTTGAGATTGCAAAATTAATCCAACAATTTCTAATAATATTTTTCATATTATACTCATGGCATTTTTCTTTTACTTATCATTGGTAATTTTTAGTATTTTGTATCGGTTAAAAATTATTTTAAAAAAATTCTAAACCCTTTTACATATCTAAACAAATTTAAAATTATGTCATTTAATTTAAACATATATAAGGTCCAATTAAAATTAAATTTTGAAAAATAAACACATATAAAATATCCAATTATGATTGTCATTTGTAAAACATATAGTTGATCAATAGAGAGAGTTACAAAAAATAAAAATTCATTTCTCTCGTCTAGGGAGAAATTGACCAACATATCATGGATGACATAACCTTGTTGTAGCCAATAACTTGTTGAACTTCTTATAGTAAGTCGAGATAAGATAGAATCGACATAAATAAGTTTAGTGATCAAGTTTTTTAATTTAAGCATTTAAAGTGTAATTTTTTTTGTAGTGATGCCGATAATGATAGAGGTAATAAGTAAACTGTAAATTAAACTAATAAATAAATATATTGTTAAAATTACTTGTGCAACTAGCATAATAACAAACATATATATATATAATTGTTCTTGTTTTTAGAATTTAAAATTATATGACTTTCAATATTAAAAAGAAAGTTTTGAGAGATTATCTATATATAAAGATTATGGAAGCACAAGATATGTATGAAATCTATTTATAATAAAGAAAAGATATATCGGAGTACAAGAAGGGAATAAACATTTGATGTGAGAAAAATGAAATAAATTTCTTGAGAAAACTATGTTTGTGGTGTCTAACTATTGATATTTTTTTCTATTTCGGTGCCTAATTTAATATTCTCCAAAAACCTCTTGAATATATTTATATATATATAAGGAAGAAATAATTTAGAATTTATTTGGTAAGCATGGATGATTAATTGTTGAGATAATAAATTTTTGGGATTTAATTGAATCATTTTTAGGGAGGAAATTGTAAAGGTTTAGCTATTTAATTTAAATAATTATGGGAGTTAAGAGATCAATATTAATTTAGAAATTACCTTAAATGAGGGTTGGATTTTTGTAATTAAAAGTGAGAAAGCTGAATTGTAAGGGTGTGATTGAATAGAATTATAAAGTCAAGGATAAAAGTGCCAATTGTTGGCAAAATGGAGGAGCATTTGAGCCAATCATTTGATCGGAACTTATTCAGAAATTTCAGTTTAGAAACTAAAACTCTTGGGTTGGATCAATCAATCAAAAAAAAAAAAAAAAAAAAGAGGAAGAGAGGAAGAAATGCTAAGGAAGGAAGAGAGAGATAGAAAAAATTAAGCTAACCCCACCCAAATTCCAACCAAAATCAACACTAACCTACCCATAAAACCTTAATAGAAAACCTAAGGAAGTAAGCATAAGGAGATGGAAGGAAAAGAACCTTGTCCAAAACCAAGAGGAAGAAAAATGAGGGAGGATTTTGCGAGGATCAAGTGAAACTAACTATAAAGGATACTCATTTAAGTGTAACTTCATATCACCACAAGATTTAGGATGATTAGGTATTGAATTGGTGCAACTATGTCACTACTCCAGGAGTGGGCCATGATCGATGTGAGAATCGAAGGGATCTCGAGGCCCATCTCAACCCAAGCAAGCCTCGGATACTTATACTAATCAAATATCATTTCCATTCACTTCATTTCATAATAATCCAACCCAATATCCGTCACATTATATACTTCAATACAAATCATAATTTTAATACCATTATTGCATTTCTCAATCTATATCATAATTAATTCTTAATACTATACCCATAGCTATAATCGTAGAGTTTCTAAGATTATAATTTAAAACAAATATAGATTCTAGGAAATTACAATTAAAGTAAGTCGTACGACCAAAGTGCCAACTTCAAATCAAACAACCAAAAGGAAGTAATGAGCAATCCCTCAATACCCTATAACACCGAAATAATGAGAGGTGAGTAATCAACAATTTAGTAAGTAGATATTATATAA